TAATACTTCGTACTATAGATATTAAATTAATCTAAAGGACGTAGGTTTTAGTATCTCCGTTAGTAGCTATACGTCTAAGATACTATACTAGACGTAGTTTTGCTAAGAATTAGCTATAATTAGAGGTTGATTAAGGTCCTAACGATGCTATACGTAGGTTTAACCTCGTTCTAATTACACTCTTCTAGCTAGCCAATTTGCGTAAGAATCAATAAAGACCTTATACTAATTAGTATAGGTAGGCTCCTCTACAGAGGGTATTCGATCAAGTGTCAAAGTCGGTATAATAAAGATGTCTGATTCTATAGAAGGTAGCGAACGAGCTGGCTCTATATACCACTGCCGGAACGGAAGAACCGGCAGTTAGGGCTGATTCCGGTTCATGCGAGGTGGCTGCCATGGCCAAACCGACACCCCTTGTAGTCCTGATCGCTTTGGTAAATGACTGTATCCAGAGAGAATGCAGTTGACGATAGGCAGATGCCGGGCTGTCGCGACGTTCAGCCAGCGAGTTAGAGGTGTCTATATCTCTTCCTCCTTGCTGACATCGTTTGCAAACGTTAGCCGGGATACATGGCCATGATCAAGTTGCTGTGCTCGTGCAATACGAGACGCTGCATGGACACGAAGGAAAGGATATATTTACCAGTAAGCCTGAACAATGGAACCAAGAGTCAGCTCGAGAGTCGTGCTCTCGTTTTGTTTGCATGATTGCACGAGGGTCGCGATTGCACCTCTGTGATTCATCTGACAGTGGCGGTAAAGGTCCTGATGACAGATCACAATCGTCTCATGCATCGAACGTCGTGCAAAGTAAATGCCAATTTGCTCGCGTTGATATGGGCATCCATGTGGCACGCCGGAGTCGATCAGGAGGACGTCGAAAATATCTTTCGTTCACCCCGGTCTACCAAACTGCAGTTCTTCATACTGCAGATGTCGAAAACAGACGTGGAACAAGACTATCCTGAGCGAACACGAACTGTTGCTTCTTGGCGTTTT